CCATTAGAGCAGTATGGATTGCACGAGACAGAGGTTCATCGTTACTACGAGCGTCTGGCTTCTTCTTTGATTCATCTCCTTCATCCAGTTCCACCACTACAGGTCTCGGTTTTGATTTGTTTAGCTTCTTCGTGGGGTTAAACGATTCCGCAGATATCTCATTCGCTGGTGGGTATTCGTCTAGCGCGTTGTTATTGTCGCCATTGCTATCATTTTGGTCATCGCTCTTCTGAGAGGAGAGATAGTACAGGCCATGGCGTTTTCTGTGTTCTGCGAGTAAGGATGCAGATTCAGGCGGATGAAAAGAAGAAGATGAGGCTTCTTGTTGATCTCTGATTCTGAGTTTAGCAACAGAGAAGCTGATTTTGTCCGAGGAAGAGAAAGAAGTTGAATTTGATTCAACAATTGGTTCGAGAAATTCTCTGCAAATCTCTTGCAGATCTTCAAGATTCTCTTTCAGCTCTAAACCATCCGGTAAGGGAACTTGTTCCTGTGCAGTTGAAGAAACGGGGCCAAGCTCTTCTGAGAAGATATCTTCCATGAATGCTATGGCTCTAGAAGCATCTGTTTCGCTTTCTTTGGTGGTTACTTTCTCGGCTATTTCATGCTTTATCATGCCGATGAATCCTAGAACATTCTTAGCTCTCTCCTGCACTTCCACATCAAGGGTTCCGGATAATGAGCACAACCCCAACTCAATCATATTCACCAGACTTGATGTAGATTGGTATGTGAAACCATTCACCGGTGAAGAGCCAGAGCTAGTAGAATCCTGAACCAAGGGCGAGGAAGTGGCCTCCTGGGCTGAGAAGTATGCCCTGAGACTGTAGACAAGAACTTTGAAAGCGGAATGTATGTAGACTGCTCTAATGGAAGGCGGTAAGAGACAAGTACGTGGTTGCAGAAGCGCCTCTGCAATTTCATAAGGGGTCTTAGAGAACTCGACATATTCCCCTGAAGCCCAAGCAGCTGCAGACAATATCGGGTGCAAGAACTGATTACCAAGCAACGCAGGATCAATAAGCAACGCTCGAGAAACACGAACTAACTCCAGTCTAGCATCTTTGACCCTTGTACCAATATCAATCAATTGATGCTCAATTTCTTGCCCTCTTTGACAATGTGGGATTCTAGCCATTTCACCAAGAAGAGACAAGTACCAATCGAAGTCAACTATGATCTCATATGAGTTCCTGGAGCATGCCAATAGAATGGAACCTATAATCTCGTTGCAGAACAAATGGTCAGACTTAAGTGCATAATTCATAAGAATCCTAGAGATCTCAGAAACATTATCTTCAGTCACCATTGTCATTAAAAGATGCAAAGCCTCGAGTTTAACATTTGGATCCTCATCGCTCAGAGCCTTGACAACAGCTTCTTTGTTCTCCAAAACTGCCCACAAATGCTTTGGAGCAACAATCGACAAGGCATGAAGACCGAGATACTTGAGATTCGGATCATCGTCCACAAGAAACTCCCGAATCTTTTCAACCGCAAGTTTTAAAGCTGTTTCTTGATCGCTCAAGCTACTCACTACGGTTCTAATACACTCAAACAACAAAGACTTCCCCACAGTCCTCCTCATATGTTCACAGATCGGATCAGCCACCTTCTTAGCCAACCTAGGCTCAATCGAAGCCAACTTAGCGAATAATTTAAGAACCTTGATCAAAACCCAATTGGTCCTCGAATCTACGAGAATCTTGTACAATTCTGGAGCTAAAGGAAGACAAGATCGTGGATCTTTTGCGGCGAGTTCACAGAACACTCCAACTACAGCTGACAGAATCTGCGGATCAGAGCTCTCCAGATTCTCGACAAGACGCTTGAAACACACTTTCACAGCATCAGGGTACTTATCGAAAACCCTCAAAACAACACCGATAGCTTTCTTCCTAACGAAAGCCTTGCTACTACCCAAGAGCGTAAAAACCTCAGAGGTTAAATCCCTAGCTAGATCATCAGTTCCAATCCTAGACAAACATTCAAGAGCGAGACTCACCTCGTACTCGTTGGAACTGTTCAAATCCTTCCGGAGCTGGTTTGTGATCAGAAGCAAAACCGGAGTCTGATCGTTGAACGACTGAGTAATGGCGTGGTAACCAATTCTCTTATGCGAGAATCGAGACGAGGACACGACCTCGACGGCATGAAAAGCCGCCCAAGACATATCGACGCCGTGGAGTGCGGAGAGGTATGACAGTTTCTGGAGGGCGACGGATTTGGTGGAGAGATCCGTCAGTTTGATCTCGCGGCGGATTTCTTCTAAGGATTTAGAAATGAAAGCGGATTCTCCGAGTAGCTGGAGACGAAGACCTTTGATCAGATCCTCGAGGCTTCGCTGGAACAAGGTGTCCATTAACGAAGTTGAAGACGCCATTGAAGATAATGAGAAGGAATCGTGATGGTTCTAAAGTTGAAGTTGTGATCGGAATCTGAAACGAGGCATGATCTAGAATAGTGTTGCAGAGAGAAATCGGAGATCAGATTCGAGGGTTTTTCATGCCGATGATCCCTCGCGATTTTCACTATCCTGAATCCTGAGTGTCGATCGGAACAGAGAAGGAAGGAGAAATGTTTTTCTGGGCTTTTCGGAATAAAGGCCTGTTTTGTTTTAATCGAAATAAACGGGCCTGAAGTTTAATAAGCCCAATACACAGTTAAACAAGTTTGTATTATGCCTTGATATTTTTTTTTGTTGAGTTTATATTATGTCTTGTTGAGTCAACTTATCCTCTATATATTTTAATAGAGCTAGATAAAAAAATTTAGGTGTCATTCAAAATTTTTTTTAAAGAACTTTAAAAAAAACTATTAAAAATTATTAATGACATGAACTATTATGCAAATAATTAGAATAACTTAACTATATTTTAGTCCAATTACCCACCAAATTTATATCATATATACAATATATAATCATCAAACGAATATGGAAACAGTAAATATGTGGTAATTAATATGGAAGATTTTGTTTAAAGAATATAGAGGATATGTGAGAATATCTTTTTTTCGAATAAGACTAACTACTAGATTTTTCAAACGTATGATTAGAATATTCAAAAACAAAAATTCATTTTTTTAATACACGGGAGAAAGTAAAAATAACAAAGATCAAATGGTATATATCTCTCATATTTTATCTTATAAAAATTAATTTACATGACACTTAGTTAAATATAGAGATTTTTTTAGATGCCACTTTTCAAAAATGATATTTTTGAAATGAGGCTAAAGTGGCAATTAATTTTTGAAATATTTTCGTTGGTTAATTTAAATGACATTTTTTTAGATGCCACTTTTGAGATGCCACTTTTCAAATGTCATCATTTTGATTTTTTTTTCAAAGGTGTGTTCACTAATTCTTTATATATTAATTGAATAGATATTTGATAAAAAAATTATATGTGTTATTCAATGGAGTTTTTAAAGAACATGTCATTTAAATTAACTAACGAAAAAATATCTATTAAAATTATATGTTATGGTGGAAATCTCTACATGTTTTTATAAATTATATAACATAAACCCATTAATATATGTTTTACAAATTTAAGTTTAAGTAAATATAATATTTAGACTTATCATATCATCTATTTTTTTAAAAAAATTTGATATATTAAGAAGTTTTTCATTATTATATTGGGCACGTATGCGATTGTGGCTGATATTTATTTGTAAATGATAATTACACTTACAAATATTTTTACATTTTATTATTGAAAACATATATTTTTGTTTGTTATGTCCGATAAATTCATATAAATCTAAAAATTTATTTGATTTATCGCATGCTCTATAATTTACACAAATAATAAAAATCAATTTTACACTTCAAATAAATTAAAATAATAACATTTACATTAGTTTTAGTATTTTTATACAAAGTTGATCAAAACATATAACATCAGAATATGTTTGGTCAAAATTTAACTTTATTACATTTATACACAATACATATCATTTTGTATATTTATAAGTATTAGAATACACGTCTAAATATTAAAATCGATTAGAAAACATATTTAAATATTTAATTCCAGACTTAGCATGGGTCAAAATATAGTAATTTATTATATTTTTATTGAACTTAAAATTTTGAAGATATATAGAGAAAATTTTCTTTAACGAGGAAGTCAATGTATGTATACATTTTTCATATAAAAAGATTATCTAGCATGTCCACTGTTCATAGTCTTATTTATAAGAGGGTGTTCTCTGTTTGGTGGTAAAAATTCAAAATTTAAGCCGTCCACATAT